GGTAGGAAGGACCGTAGTTGTGACGATACAAAAAATTCGTGCCCAGAACCCCCCCCCCCCCCTCGCTAACGGGGTCTTGCGCCATTGATATGATTAACATAGTAAATAATTCCTTCCTCAATGAAGATTTGACTCGATGTAGCTAATAATACATATATGATATGCCTTACATGTTAAGGGCGGCAGGAAAACAATGTCACAAGAGCTTGTTCTCATGAAAGTATGTATCTTGTTCTTTTGATGTGTAAGGTCGTAATCGAATATTGATGATAAGACTATAGTGACACAGTGGAAGTTGGAAGGACTGCTGTGGGCAACAATGGTTAGAGGGACTATAGTGGCGGATGAAGGGTCCCAAGAACATAGTCGGCGACGATGGTCAGAGTCGTAGCGACGGCATGACATAGTCAGAAGGGACCTTAGTCGGGCGAATAGTAGCGGGGGACATAGTTGGCGACAGTTGGAGATAAGTAAGGACCGTAGTTGGGTGCATGGTCGGTTTGAGGGACCGTAATTGACGCAGGTGACGAAGGTCAGGAAGAACCAAAGTTGTGTAAGGAGTGTAGGAAGACCGTAGTTGTGGTGGGATACAAAAAACACCCCTCATTTGGGTCATCGAGGAAGAGTTTTTAGGGAATAAGTTATGAGGCAAATTTTTCAAAAGGTATATTGGATTTGAAATTTGGCAAACTGACTTAGACAAAAATAGGGGACCGAACTTACAAACTTTTTAACAACAGTGAACTGGAACAGAACCTAAATTGATTAACAAAAACTTGAACTCATAGTTGAACTAAACTTGACTTCTAATGGACATTAGACAGATGACATTAAACTCAAAGAAAACTTGGACATAATCAATGACTTGTAGCGCAATAAATAAAACTTGTAATTTGGCAAAGTGACTGCTTTAATTTAAATGCAAACAAGGATTAAGGAAATGATGCACTTCCATGCTTATAACTTATAACTTCATCTTTAATGAAAGTTGAGAATTAGCTACTTCAATAGAAATGCAGAGCCTAATGAACAAAGAATAAGAGGGTTGCAATGGTTAATGATTTAGTAAAGTGGAGAAGTTGCAAAGAATATAGTTTGCTTGCTATCAACAAGAGCTAATGGGTATCTTGCAAATATATACATCAGTTTCCACGAACATTAAATATATGCAAGAAAATGCAACAATTTTTCGTTCATTGTGTACAAGGAAATTGATAATGGATGTAGCATCATCCCTACGCTCAACATCAGCCAGTTTATGAATACATTGGCCCACCCACAAATGATGACAACTCGCCAAAGCGAATATAACAATACCTTGCAGTTCATATGCAAGCAAAAACTATGAATCCAGTACAAATATTAGTACCTACGAGCAATTGTAGGAGTACCCACAAGTAATTGTAGAAGCTTGTGACATGCATAGTAGTTCACCTACAACATACGAAAGACAATAAACACACAAATGCTTGCATTGATATGAGAGAGATTCATGATGTATACAATGTTTCATTCACATGCAATAGTAGATAAATCATCAAATGCTTTAAACACTTATGAATGGTAACAACAGGCATGCATTGATTATAAAGATGCCCTCATGCAGTCAATGTTAATCGAGCATTTAGCAAATACATGAGTTCCCTGCGGGTGAGGGGAATTGACATGCAACAAAGGCAATGAATTGCTCGAAATAAAATACAATTCCCACACAAATAATGAGGGATTTGCAACACACACTACATGTTATCTGCAAGTAAAACACTAGTTCATCTGTTGCAGGAGACCTGCTATACCCACGAAGTGTCATCACAAACAAAATGTTAAATGACTACAACAAATGTAAATCCATACGAGCTGATGTAGAAGATTCGTTGTACGCTTGGTGTGTCAACCACAAGCAAAATGAAGAATAACTACAACAAATAGAAATACCTGTGGTCGACGTTAGAAGATTTGTATGCAAAGGAATAACCATAAATAAAGTCATCATGCAAATTCAATTATCCACGGATAACTAGCAGGAGATTCATTAGTGCACTATAATCCAGACGCAGAAAGCAACAAGTAGTGCACTACAGTCTGCATGTACAAAGTAGCAGATGAAACTCAACCTGAAACACGACACAATGCCACAGGATCCACAACATGTATACAAGCGGACAGAAGACATTCGTAGGCCCTTAAATGAAATCTCAGACATTTTTCTAAATAAAATTACTTGCATAAATCAATCATATTTAAATATTTTAAAATGCCCCTTATGTATTAAATATGATCCCTTAAACTGAATCACAAAACCCCTGCATGTGCTATGATAAACGTGTTAAAGTTATAAATGTAAATGTTTGAGAATGCTACGTAGGGTTAAATGCTCATTTATTTGCAAACTAAACATAACCCGTATGTGCTCCGATCGTCACATATGATTCTTAAATCCAAAGGTTTGAGAATGATGCACGGGTAAAACACTCAAGTCTAATCCATCTCCTCAAAAGGATTGGAGTCGACATGACTTGAAGTACAAAATGCCTTCCAAATTCCTATAAATATATAAGAGATTTCAATGTCACCCCGATAATGAATATGTTGATCGAAAATCTCAACCGGATGGGTCAAGTCTCAAATCCAATAAAAGTCTAAACCGCCAAAATAAAATTCATTGCCTAAAAAACTTAAAACTAAAACTCATCCACCTCCCACAACTATTTATCGGGGGTGATAAAATTGAAATTAACCTCAGCTCACAAAGAGCGAATGCGTGTCGGGTTTATCGCTATGTTTCATTCTCAAATAGTCTCTTTCAAGCAGGGACATGACATGTTCCCTCAGATTGGGTGGTTTTGCCACAAAATAACACCATTATATTACGATCACGGGCAAAGCTTGTATGTTCCCTAACAGCTTCAAACGCTTAGGTAATGAATTATAGTGTATACTTGATAGGCATGAAAGCTCTCCATCAGCTAAGGTGAATTCTGATCATCCCCTTAGACGAACACCAACTCATGTCTACAAGGTATTCTTGGACGAAACAACCCATGACTGCTGATAAGGTGCCTTCTGTTAGGTTAGGTCGACTACCTCTAACTAAGTAAACCAGGGAATATGACAGGCCGGGACAACAAAATCATGGGTTCTTAATCGAGATCGTCTTCATTCCCCCCACAACCAATTTTAAGTTCATGGTGATAAACTCCAAAATTCATGTCTCAAATTCAAACCCTAAAATTATTGCTATTATACACTGAATTTACAACCTATGTAACCTCTTTAACGACTAGCCTTAATTGAAAGTTCTCCCTCATTATTGGGAGGGGTAAATAACTATATGAGCTTTCACATATAGGAAACCAGAACTCGGATCATAAAATCCACACAAAATGAGGGCAAAATCTCTGGGTAGTGTCTTATCTAAAACCCAATATACCTTCTGAAAATTCACCCTGAACCTAATCTTGTTAAAACTCTCCGCCATCATCATTACACTAAAAAAATAGACTAGCACGAAGAGGATGGGGCGCATTATGAAATTTTCAGAGTCCACAATTATAGTGGGCAGGCAATAGTGGTAAGAGGAAGGACCGACAGTGCCATCCAAATAGAGGTTCAACGACGATGATCGAGCAAAGGTCTAGCAGCAATGCTTTGGTGGCACAAATGCGTCGGCGGTGGTGCCGGGGTGGAGCTTCTAGATTCTTCAAGCTCTAGAGCTCTTCTCTTTCTCCTCCTCCCTCCCTTTATGTGAATAATGAGAGTTTATTTATAAATTTTTTAGGATTGACATCCTCAATAAATGTGGAGAAGATCCATGATAGATTTGGTGTGTTCTATAGGATGGTCCATATTGATTCAATGATTCCCTTCATCATGGGGCATTTATTGAACACTTAAGTGCATTATTGATGTCATAATTGAGTGATCTTGGGTTCGTTGGATTCATCTCGTCGAGCCGCTCGATTCAAATATAAAGATGACATATTTGGATATCATTTGTTCATCCAATTAATGCTCTAAAGCTTTTAAGAATGCTTTGGTCCTTTAATTTGATCTCATATGGGCTCGTATTGGGCTGAATTTGGTGTCATTGGATTCGTCTCTTTGAGATTTCAATTTGACTATAAGTTTGTTGAAATTGAAGTTTAGATGATCCCAAATTTAATTTTGAAAGTTTCTAATGCATATTTGCATCAAAATTCATGCCCAATCAAAGCAATTTTTGGTAACATATCAATCCCCATTCTCCTTCACCACCTCACCTCAAGCCTTTGATTGAATGGTTGAATGAATAGCATGAACTCCTCACCATCCTCCTCCCCACTCATCTATGTACAAGATTCAAACAAGACTATATGAGTTTTAAATCATGTTTAATCCCTGCTCAAGCTCTATTCTAACCTAATAGGATTTATGATTCAAATAAAATTCAAATAATATTTAAAACTCATATTACTCTACTTCGAACCATGTTATGAATCTAATATTCAAATCCTATTTTCAAAAACAAACATTCAACCCTACTTTAAACAACAATCAAACATTAATTATAACATTTGAATTAAAAAAAAGTTATAACATTCGAATCTTGTTAGTCTTTGAACCTAAGATTCTCCTTTTATCCTCTTCCTATTTTAAGAGTATCTTATTTATATCTTAATAACTATGATAACATCTTCAAAATCCATGAACAATAAATTGCAGTTAAGTAGAGAAACTAAAGATCATCACATCACTATTAAGTAGAGAATCTAGAGATCATCGCGAAGCTTTATGATAAATCAATCACAAGAGTTCAAAGATTTCGTTTGGAACGGTTTTCTTGCTACTTCTTAAAGCAACTTTTTTATACAAAAATTAAAATTTTTGTACTTGAAAACTGTTTTAGAAAGCAGTAAAAAAACCGACCCAAACGAAGCCTAAATCACACAAACTTTTAAGATAGAAGATATTTGGAAGAGAAAAGTTCAAGCTGCAATTTGGACAGCTTTCCCTTCTTCGAATGTTCACATGATTACATTTATTAAGGGAAATGAATCATATTTCAATAGTGAAGGTATATGCGTCCAAGGCATAGAAAATCATATATACTCCTTGTTCATGTAGGTTGTACAAGATTATTGCTATGTGCAAATGTGCGCATTCCTTGCAAGTGTGCAGGTTGACAAAAAGTATCTAATCGAATAGGAAAAACTAAATAGCAAACATAATTGCCACACATCATTTAACTTAGGTTTCGTTTGGGATGGTTTTCTTATTGCTTTTTAAAGCATATTTTTAGTACAAAATTTTAAATTTTTATACTAAAAAGCTACTTTAAGAAGCAGTAAAAAAGCCGTCCCAAATGAAGCTTTAAGCTTCCTGATCTTTTCTGAGCATTCACAAGAAGAAAAAGCCTTCAGCTTTGAGTGCATAACTCAAATTTTTTTAAGTTCTTCAATGCTACAGAATTGAGATGCCTATGTTGGATCAACTACTGCAATGAAAACAATGGAAAGAATGCTTGGTATCTGCCGATAATTACAACGGTGATGCAGCGTGAGGAGAGATAATTGGCGAGAGCATCTTCGTCGAAAGTTGCTGATCACTCTTCCTCACTTTAAGGTCCATAAAGTCGGTGATCATGCCGGGCTTTGTAATATGAAAGGAGTTGACATCCACATCACCAGCAAGCATCTTTACTATGGAGGACATTGAAGGTCGCAGTTTGGGTGAGTCTTGAGTACAAAGGAGCCCAACCAGTAGAAATCTGTAGGCCTCTTCAGCATTTAAATCACTTCCTAATGATGTGTCTATGATGCTTTCAAGCTCTCCTTTCTCGTAGAGAGCCCATACCTGAAGCGTAAAAGCCTTCAGTTGGGATACCATAACACCTCTAATTTATACGTTGCAAGTAAAATGGATTGAATAAAGATTGAATAAACATTGATGGAATATTTCAAACACTACACATAAGTCACCATGATAGCATAGAGTTCTAGTAGGATTTCCATTAAATAATCACTTCCAACTTTCAAACAGCTATTTCCCATTCATTCAGCCAACTAAAAAGGTACAAAAATTGGACAACTTATGCAAATTAATGCTGCTACATAATCATATCAAGCGGGTCATGAATAAAAGAACTGGTCAACACAATAGTTGCAGCAGATTGCTAATTGAATTGTTCCTGAGCCTTGAATTATTTTTCTTCAAACAAATTGTTAAGTTCAAGTCCTTCATAACATCATGAAATAAGCTGATTCTTGATATCAATTTTAAAATTAAAATTTAGACTTCGTTTGGAATGATTTTTAATTGCTTCTTAAAGCGGCTTTTAGTACACAAATTAAAAATTTGATACTAGAAAGCCACTTTAAAAAGCAGTAAGAAAGCCGTCCCAAACAAAGCTTTAATCTTAACCCCAACTGCCATAAGAATGAAAACAGCTATAATACAATTAGTCAAATCCTCTATAAGTATAAGTACAAAAATTTATGATGAACAAATATTAAAACATTTTCAGTACTACTCTGAAAGAAACTTTCCCATATAATAGTTCAATATCCTAGAACAGAGATATCACCTGTTCAAATGTTAAGAGTTGTTTTATATATCAAAATTGGGAATGAAAAACTATGCTGGCTCGCTTCAAATATGAACAAAAGTTGCCAAATAAAAGTATTTTAGTTGTTATCAATCTTCTACCCCAAATCTAAGTAGACACTACTTGCCATGTTTCATGGGTCACCTCATTAAATCAGAAATTTTGTAATTTCGGATCTGGCTAAGGCTTTGTTTGGGACGGCTTTCTTACTGCTTCATAAAGCAATTTTTCAGTACAAAAATTAAAAATTTTGTACTATAAAGCTGCTTTAAGAAGCATAAAGAAAGTTGTCCCAAATGAAGCCTAATTCGTTAGTGCTGTCATACATAGATCAATGGCTGTTACAAAAAAATCAGGAAGGTGCGATTCAACGGGCTCTTCTAATGACACTGAGTTTAGTTAATTAGTTCACTTAGTTCAAATGGTGGGTCAATAAGCACCAACACTGGCTAGCCTTAGAATTAGTGACATCAAGCACATGGCAAGCCAAAATAAGTTCAGGACAAGTCCACAAGGCCCCCTGGCTCATTAGGATACGTGATGGAGATATGGAGGGCTACAAATCAAAGTCCACAAGGAGTTTAATTACAATTTACAAAATCAATCTTATGATGGAGATGTCAGCCCAAGCATGAATAAGTGGAGAGAGAAGGATAATTGCATGAGCCAAGGAAAACCAAATCACTCTTCCTTAATTTACTCCATCAAATTTCTACCTCATGACCAATCAAAACATAATCCAAGGAGGGTTTTAAGATAAGTGATAAGTCAAAAGTGATTTCCATATATTAAGGGATTAGATAGCTAGAATTTGTTAGTATAAGCAGTAATCATATAGGATAAACAACATATTCTATAAATTATCATTTAAATTTTCACTAGAATTTCTCTATTTATTTTAATATATCTCAAAAGCTAAAAATAGCGACCCTTTTGTAGTAAATTATCATTTATTGAACAATATAAAGAGCGATAATTAGGTCCCCCCTTCTCTCTAGCTGACCACATTACGCATTGGGGCTTTTATTTTCAATTTATGGCTATCTAGCATTCCCTTTTCCTAAACTCTAATTTCTCACCACCTCTTTCTCTTAAGAAACTCTCCAAATACCCTAAAGTCTTGCCAGAGGCAATCACAGCAGGATTTGATTATGGGAACAAACCACACACCTTTACATTTAAGACCGGAGAGAAAAGGATATAAAACTCATTCTTCTCAGTTCCTGGCAATGTCTAATTTGAAATTTGGAAATGAAATTCTGACAACGGTATTTCATTCAACTAACATACCTAAATGGCCAAGAAATTAAACCTAATGAAGATGCACCTAAAACTAATCACGTTTGAAAAAGTAAACAATGGTAACTATTCCCAGAGTTATCTAAATCACCCTCCACACAATCTGCAGCAAGAGTTTAGAAGTTATAGGAAGGAAGAAAAAAAAATTATATAAGAAGAAAAACTTGTCCAGTGGAAGATTCTAGTTGATAAATGAAGCTTCTGTGTGTCTATAAAGAACATAAACATTCTTACTCTTTCAAGAAGAAACTGATCTTCAAATGGTAATCTTGTATTTGTGTTGAGTCTTCCACTGATTATCTCCAGCAGAAGAACACCAAAGCTATAAATGTCAGCCTTCCTCGTCAATTGCCCAAATATTGCATACTCCGGTGCCAAGTAACCTCTATTTAATAAGAAATTACCAGTTAGTAGATTTACTTTGTTAAACAAGGACTTGCACACATAGTACGCATGATGTGAAGTGAATGAAAAGTTAACTGTAGAGGTCCATATTGAAATCATGTCATGCTAAACTAGTGTTGCATCAGAAAAGGAAGAATCACACAAACAAGATCACATAGGGAAGAGTCAATGCATCCAACTCACATTGTTCCAGCTACCCTGGTGCTGACATGGCTCATATTTGAAGGTAGAGATTTTGCTAAACCAAAATCTGAAATCTTAGGAGTCAAATCTTTATCTAGAAGAATATTACTGGCTTTGATATCTCGATGCACAATATGAGGAGATGCCTCCTCATGAAGGAATTTGAGCCCTCGAGCAACACCAATGCAAATTTTTGTTCTTGTTTTCCAGTTGAAATGAACTTTGCTGTCACTCCCACCTAAGATTAGAAACAAATCAGAATACAAAGCTACCCAAAACTAGATTTGTATCTTGAAAAAAGACAAGACAAAGAGCAAAGACTTACCAAAAAGCATTTTTGCAATGCTGTTGTTCTCAAGGTAGTTGTAAACCAATATCCTCTGATTTCCTTCCACACAGCAACCATATAAACTGACAAGGTTCTCATGGATTATATTGGAGATCATAGCAATCTCATTTAAAAATTGGTGCACTCCCTGTTTTGACGCAGAGGAAAGAACTTTAATTGCAACAACTTTCCCATTTTTTAGCCTCCCCTGCAAAGCAAAATTGCAACTCTTTCGTTAAAAAGGGTACACTTGTTAAGTGAAAAAATCCAGTAAGCTTCCATGAAATTACCTTGTACACGCAACCAAAACCTCCCTCTCCAACCTTATTAGAAGGACTGAAATCATTGGTTGCTTGTCGCAATTCTTTGTAGGTATATATTTTCACTTTGGAATTGCCTGGGATTCCTAAGATGAGAACAATAACAACAAAATATTTAACTGTGGGAAATTTTCAGAAGGTGCAATTTCAACTTTGGATATAGATATAAATATGCACCGAATAATGATTTAGCTACCTTCATCACCTACATATGACAACCTTGATGACTTCCTCCATTTTACAGTGAATGAGAAACAAGTCATTAGTAGAAAATCTAACACTGCAATTTTATTAATGTTGATGTATTGAAGAAATAAGAGAAGCCTGCAAAACAAATGAACTATTTATCAGAGAAATATCACAAAACGCATGACCCAGAAAACTATACAAGGCCTGAAAATTCGTAGAAAAGGTACACAAAATGAGATTTTCACTGAAAACCTAGAAGAACCCTCAAAACAAAATGTTCATATGCAGTTACCCAAAGCCTATCTTTCTTCATTACTCATGCAAACCAGAGGGAAATAACTCAAAAAAGAAAGAAATTTTGAAAGAGAAATAAGAAGAAAAAAAATGATCCGTCAGAAAGACTAACCTGCAACGCAAATCACTTCACAGGAGACCAATTATGGAGGAGAGGTTCCACTGGGTAGAAAACTCAAGCAAGTTCCTCCTTTCGCTTAAGAGAAAACCCAGAGGTAGGTAGAGAGAGACGGAGGGGGAGTGAGAGACCCCCTCGGCGCCCCATTGTGAGAATATATCCACGCTGTAGGTGAATGCCGACGGAAGCTGAGCTACGCGCTGACCTTCCAATAAATTAAATTTTTTTTTTACAAAAATACCACCTTATTTCAGGCTAATATCTAAAACTTTAATATTTTATAACTATCATTCTATCACTCATATAAAATTTTAATATCAAATATATCATTTATATATTTCATTCTTACCACTCATATCATCCTATAAACTTTAATTTTTCATTTTATGCACCCATAATTATTCTATAAATGGTAGTAATGTAATAATAAAATTTTAGGTATTAAATATGTAAATAATATAAAATAAAATGGTATGTATGTAAATCCAAATAAAATAAAATTTTTCCCTCAAATGTTTATTTTGGAGTTTTTTTTTTCAAAAATAAAATTTATTGAAGTTGTTTCTATTTCTATGAAATTGATTATAAAAAATTAAATTGATACTTTTATAATGTTAGAGATTTGTTTTTTTTTTTAATAGAGGTATCTATCTGTTGCAACCTCATAGGAGGCTCATGGCGTCTTAACTAATCCCTCAAAAAGCCTACTAGTAACCAGCCCACAGGTGCAAGACCCGTAGTTATTTTTTCCTCCTCACTTAATGGATCGAGCCGTATGAGAGGGGAATCGAACATGAGTATAAGAGTTTCTCAATCATGCTCGTCCACCAACCCAACTAAGCCTGATGGAATGTTAGAGATTATTTTAATCATTAAAAAAAAAGGACCAATTCAAAATTTTTCTCTAAAATCAAATAAATTGAAAACATTCTGCCCTTAATGAAGACAAAAGAATGAAGATAAGAAACTTCTTAGGTATTTCAGTTTTCATAGGTCAAAATGTCACATGCGTTTTTTCCTGGCACGAAATTAAGAATTTGTAATCTATTTAAGCACGTGGATTCCGTGTATTAAGCTTACAGTTTGAAAAACTAATAATGATTTTTTACAAATATTATATTAATAAATTTAATTATAACAAATAATTATTAATCCCTAAACCTAAAACTATACAAATAATAATCAAATAAAAATATACTTAATATTAAAAAAACTGAAAGCCATCGGCATTGACTTCAGGTCATAATGTCACGTGCGTTTTTTCTTTCCTGTTCTCATTATAAAAGGATTTATTTTACGATAAATTTTTAATATAAAATCGTTTACGTGAAAGCCAACCGGAAAAAGGAAAATTTAAAACTAATGCCAGTTGCTTTGCTCAAGCAAGCAACTACTTAGCTCGCCGATGTGAGGGTGAGGTAATCTGATGGGCACGGATGATGTGGCGAATTATTAAATTTAAATTAATGTTGAAATAGTTATATTTGTTCTAAATTAAAAAAAAAAAACATTTTGAAAATTAATTCAAAGTTCTTAACAAAAAAAATTAATTTATGGAATATAAATTTCTAATTTTTTTTATTTAGAAGTTAAATACAGTAAAGGCTTAATTTAATTTTAGTTTCAAATTGTTTTAGTATATTCAATTTGTGAACAACTTGTTCACATGGCCACTTAGGAACTTTTATTTGGTCCGGTCACGGGACATAGCTCTACATTCGGCCGCCAGTAGAATCGCGCCACGCGTTCTCACTATTTACCGCGCGCCCCGACAACCCAACCTGAAACGGACCCAGGATGGCTCGGTATTTCTCAATATTGCTCGGTATTGCTAGATATTGGTCAATTTTGCTCGGCAATAACCAATACCGAGCAAATACCGAGCAATACCGAGCAAATACCGAGTAATACCGAGCAATACCGAGTTTTTCTAGAAAAACTCGGTATAACTCGGTATTGCTCGGTATTGGTCTTCACAGAGCGGTATTTCTCATTATTGCCAAACAATACCTAGCAATACCGAGCAAATACCGAGTAACACATCGCAATACATGAACATAGCATTCCCGGGTTCCGGTCCGGGTCAAGTCGTCGGGCTGCGCGGTAAAGAGTAAGAGCACGTGGCGACATGTTATTGGCGGCCAAACATAGCTCTACATCCGGTCAGAGGACGTAATAATTATTTCCTAAGTTGCCCAATCGTCTCGCCCTCCCCTGCATTCCGACCGAGCCCCATGCTTGAGTCTCCAGCCCGACTGCCCCACACCAGGGTTTTGACCGACCCCACACATTCACTCGTTTTACGTTAGAGCCCCGCCATAGTGATTGAGCCGATAAACGACTATGTCAGTTGTTTAATAGGTGAACAACTATGCTAGTTGTTCAATAGGTGAACGACTTGCTTTTTTGGCCACATCATCTTCCATGTCACAGCTTCTTTATGCCATGTCACAACTCCACCCTACGTTACGTCAGAGCCAGTCGTTGCTTAAACAAATGACTGGCATTACGTTTTTTTTTTTTCAGATTCATTTCCATGTATACAATTTTTAAATGATTTTATTTTAAAAATTTTTCCTTTATTTTAATATCTAAAAATATGCAGACAGGCAGATTGACTTTTTTTTTTTAAAAAAAAATAATATCCGAAGTTGGAATTTTTGGGTTTGGTTGACGGGATATGTCATTTATTGGCACCCCTATATATAATATTATATGAAGCATATTATTGATATACATGAACATGATATATTGATGTTGCTAAATATAATTATATGAGGCATAACATATTGATATATACATGATAATGATATACTTGAATATGATAGTATGTATATCATTGCTATATGTGAATAAGTTACATACATCTGATTCAGATTATAATTCATTAGCAAACATGAAAATACAAAGTGATGCAAGTATATATACATTGATTAATATAATGATATGTATAGGATACATGCAATGACATACTGACATATATGATTACATGAGATGGCCATTAGAATATACATGAACATATCCCACATGATAATATTAATCATATTTACCTACATGTTACATGTATAAGGATAAGCATATAATGGTATTAATTTAGCATATGATTAGCTTTTATAATTATTGATAACAGCTGCATTGATCTACCTTCCTTTCATTGAATATGGTAATAGGCTTCATGTAATTTGTTGAGTTGTGCACTTACTATGTTTGTTTAAAGGCAAATCTAATATCGATACCCCAAAAGTCGATTAACTATGCTTAATTTGGTATAACTCCCAACCTATTATAATTTCATTTTGAAAGTTTAAGTTATGGTGGAGATTGAGGGAGCATTGTGACATTGAGTTCTCAATGTGGATGTTGAAACTCAAAGAGGAAGATCTTGAGAGAGATCTTCTTGCAAGATCTCTAGAGAGGGAGCGAGGAGGAGGGAGAGGGGAGAAGAGCCGTGAGCCAAAATGCTTCAAAACTTTATTTCCTTGGCTACCCTATTACAAGCTAAAGACTCCTTTATATAGACTCCTAAAGCTCTACAAAGCAACACAAATGGCTATACACTTTGCCATACAAGACACCAACATAAAAGCTGTGATGCCCCAAGATCTAACTTGGAAAGAATGTCAATCAATTTCCCAAACAATTTACCAGAGTTATCTAAAACTTTCAATTAGACAGTCTATCAAACATCTAAGAAATTTAAAACATCAATATACAAGTCGATTCATATCTCAAAAATCATGTACAATACTCAGGAACTACACTACAATCACCAGTACTGAAATCTATCCTGAGTACAAAAGAATCATAATCAATCAAAAGACAAAAACCTGAAGATCTGGATCAAATCCTATCTTCTGCTCCCTTGCCCTGACCTGAAAATATCAACCACATATAATGAGCTTTACAAAGCCCAGCAGGTCACCTAATACCTATAACTGAAATCAAAGCACGGCGATGCTATCAATATGCATGTCAGTCAATCAA